TTTGAGAATGCTGATGGAGAAGTACAGAGAGGGTCAGAAAGAACTCCACTGTGTCTTTGTGGATTTAGAAAAAAAGCATATGACAGAGTGCCAAGAGAGGAGGTGTGGTATTGCATGAGGAAATCTGGAGTGGCAGAAAAGTATGTTAGACTGGTACAGGACATGTATGAGGACAGCAAGACATGTATGAGGACAGCAAGACAGTGGTGAGATGTGTTCTAGGAATGACAGATAGCTTCAAGGTGGAGGTGGGAGTGCATCAAGGATCGGCTCTGAGCCCCTTCTTGTTTGCTCTGGTGATGGACCGAATAACAGATGAGGTCAGGCAGGAATCCCCATGGACTATGATGTTTGCATTTAACATTGTGATCTGTGGTGAGAACAAGGAGCAGGTGGAAGAGAACTTGGAGAGGTGGAGTTATGCACTTGAAAGAAGAGGAATGAAAGTCAACCGTAGTAAGACAGAGTACGTGTGTGAATGAGAGGGAGGCCGGTGAAACAGTGAGGCTAAAAGAGCAGTGGTCACAAAGGTGCAGGACTTCAAGTACTTGGGGTCCACTATCCAGGAAAATGGGGAGTGTGGTAAAGAGGTAAAAAACAGAGTCCAGGCAGGATGGAGTGGATGGAGAAAAGTTTCAGAAGTGATTTGTGAGAAAAGGGTGTCAGCAAAGGTCAAAGGAAAAGTTTACAAGACAGTAGTAAGACTAGCTATATTGTATGGTTCTTGAGACAGTGGCATTGACAAAAAGACAGGAGAAAGAACTGGAAGTGGTGGAAATGAAGATGTTGAGGTTCTCCTTAGGAATGACAAGGATGGATAAGATTAGGAATGAGATCATTAGATGTACAGCACAGGTTGAACAACTGGGAAATAAAGTTAGAGAGGCCAGACTGAGATTGTTTGGACATGTCCAGAGGAGGGACAGTGGGTATATTGGTAGAAGGATGTTAGAAATGCAGCTGCCAGGAAAAAGACAAAAAGGAAGGCCAAAGAGGAGATATATGTATGCAGTTAGAGTGGACATGAAGGTAGTTGGAGTGAGGACAGAGGATGCAGAGGACAGAGTGAGGTGGAGGAGGATGACTCGCTGTGGTGACCCCTGAAGAGGGAAAAGCTGAAAGAAGAAGAAGAAGAAATGCTGCTGTTATCAGTGTTTGCACATGGGCTGCTTTTCTTCCTTGTAGAAAAGATGTTCACATGCGGATGATGTTGTTTCAAGTGCGTTAACAAGTTAGAAGTGTTGCCTGCTGCAGATCCAATCTCCGTGAAACAACGTCGACACACAGCTTTGGATTTTTCCACTTGTCTTTTAACCAGAAATAATTTATTCTAGATTTGAGATTCTAGGCTGCTAATGCTATGCATGCTGCAAGATAATAGTGCTGTGCTGAAACATGCTTAGGAACTTTAGTTCCGTGGCGCATAATATCTCGTTAATAAAATTTAATGAGTGAAAAAAATAACCGAAACTGTACGCACTGGACTGAACCAAACATGCTGTACTGAAACAGTTCAATACACCCACGTGAACTGTTACACCACTAGTCACGACTATGGGAGAAACCTAAGGTGAAGCATCAATACGTTCAGTGATGCCCTTGTCTTGGAGATGTTTGAGCTCCTCTGAAATAGCTTGTCTCACTGAAAATGGCAGTCTCCTGGGTTTTTGTTACACTGGAACAGCATTTGGCAGTATATGTACTTTGTGTATGAAGTTTTTGGTGTAGCCTACTTCCTGAATTGACATTTCTGGACCATTTTGTGGTTCGGTCTTTGGCACAGCAGGTTGAACAGTAGAGGTAGGAGGAGTAATAGTAGTAATAACTTTTCATCCTTCAAGTTTCATATGTATTGCCTGAAATAAATTTAAGCCTAGGAGAGCAGCTCCTGACTCAACCACAACTAGCGTACTTACTGTAGAATGATTATCATGAGAAATAGTAGCTCTTAAGCACCCTTTTATAACAATTTTCTCTTTTGCAGAGGTAACAAGAGCAAATGTAGGTTCAGTTAGGGCACATTCTGAGAAGAAGGTGGTGTAAATGTTCTCTGGTATAATGGACACAGATGAGCCTGTATCTACAGTCAGCTCAACATCTTTACGTTGTCCATTAGCAGTCACTTGAACTGTGCAGAGGATCTTGTACTGTATTGTTCACGGAAAAAATTGTGGGCTCATTAATGACGACTTCACGTACCTCCTTTTGGGTTGAACGGCATATTCGTGAAAAATGTCCTACTTTACCACACTTGTTGCAGGTCACTTTAACAGTAGGGCATAAAGGTTTGTTAGCAAGGGGGTTAGAAGATCCACAACAAAAGCAGGAACGATTACCAGCAGCTTGAGCCGTGGCAGGAGCAGGATTCTGCGGCAGCTTCTTCTTCATGTCCCAGCGGCAGCTTAGCTTTGATTGTTTCTGTATGGCCCTCACTGGAGCAGAAGCACCAGCAATAGTAGCATCAGAGAGAAAGTTAGCATCCCTTAATCCACTTTCAATTCACAACGCCAAGGTAGTAGCTTTAACAAGTGTTAGGTCCAGTTCAAGTAATAATCGGTCTCTTATGCGAGTGTTAGCAACACGTTCGATCAGTTGATCACGTAGCATTTGTTCCTCCATGTTGCCAAAACCACATGCGGTAGCTAACTCACATAGAGAAGCTAAGAATTTGTTTACCATCTCATCCGGCCTCTTTGCTTTTTGTTGAAACTTGTGACGTTCTGCAATGGCGTTCACCTTTGGCACAAAATGTTATTTTAGCGCAGCAATAGCAGCAGCAAATGTTTCTCCAGTGTTTGGTAGGGTGTAGATAAGCCGTTGACCCTCCGTACCCAGGGCATGAATTAGAACCTCATGTTTTCTTCGTCAGGCCAGCCGTTCCCCGATGCTGTGATCACCAGCATGTAGTTTTCAACGGTTTTTAACCATGTTGGAAATGTTATCACTGGTTCCCCTGGACATGGCAGGAATGGAGCAGGTAAAGGCACAGAAATAGACATCCTCGTTGCCAATGTTGTGTGTTGCAACATTGAATTAAAGGAAAAATAAGCAAACACGTGGATCAGCTTCAGTTCTTCATTTACTTTCACTTTTGTTCTTTCTCTCCGTCCCCCTCTGTACAGCATCTTTTTCAACATACAGTCTTACAGCACCCTCTGGTGCCCTTTCTATGCAATAACCATTCCTTCAGTTCTGCACAACACAACAACATGTCCAGAGGAGGGACAATGGATATATTTGTACAAGGATGTTAGAAATGCAGCTGCCAGGAAAAAGACAAAGAGGAGATATATGGATGCAGTTAGAGAGGACATGGAGGTAGATGGAGTGAGGACAGAGTGAGATGGAAGATGATGACTCACGTGGAGACCCTGAAGAGGGAAAAGATGAAAGAAGAAGAAGAAGGTGCAATAGAGGAGCCAGTGGGCGGCCAATGGAGGCCTTGGCCCCCATAGATTATTCTTCAGACACCCCAGTCATTTAAAGAAACTACGTTTAAGCAACATAAAACTGAGCAGCTAATTTTGCTTATCAGCAGCAAACTGGTTGATCCACTACGAGAAGGTGCTATTTATAAGACTGAGATGAATACAGCACCTCAGACTGAAGAAGTTTTTCGGATGAAAGCCGAAACATTTCTACTTTTTTATTTGTTTATTTATTTTTTTAGTTTGTTTTGTTTTTTATCCAGAGGACCAGACTTAACTTTTTTAGACAACATAAAACTAGAAAGCAGTTTCCTCAAATGATGGGGGTTACATATATACAAGTTATAGTTAAGTATATAAGTTTTTATGGAGGTGGCCATCTTAGATTATGATGTGATAACCAAATTTTTGATATTGATCTTTTTTACTCGTCTAGTTACTAGACTACTTTACTAGTCACACGCCAAAATGGAAGTCGGTACCGCACTTTTTTTTCTAGTTATCATTCATTCAACCTTTATTTCTAGAAGTTAATCCCATTGAGCCTCGATGACTCATTTACAAGAGAGACCTGATTTCTTAACAAAGAATGATGACAACAGTGGACAACAATGACAACGATAGACAATCATAAAATAGGCATACAAATTTAAGTTTCACTATTTTTTGTTTTTTACAAATCAAAACAATCAAAACAAAATGGCAACCAAAAGGACAATCAAGAGGAATAGTAGAAAAAACAGCTAGATTATAGGGCAATTTAGAAAACTAAAAACAGGAACATGTCTGCATTGGTACAGGATGACAACAGCATGATCCAGGAACAAAACTTTCAGCTGACCCGTTCTGAACCAGTGGACCTGCACAGATCTGAATTATTATCCAGGTGAGTTTGGATGGAAGCCAGCAAAAACTCCGATGCAGACTCCGGTCTTGTCTCGAGCATCTTCCTCGGCTCTGCTCCATGACGCAGCTCCTCTGTGCTTCACTCTGCTCCTCTGCTCCTCCGTGCCTCACAGCATGAGAGGCCACCCCCGATGAACAACGACGAGAATGACCAGAGAGGCTGAAGTCGTCCCTGGCCCGGTTCTGCTCTGGACCGGCTCCGACTCTTCACAGCACAAGAGACCACCACCGGCGAACAATGACGAGAACTGACCGGAGAGGATGAAGTTGTCTTTGGCCCAGTTCTGTTCTGGTCCGGTTCCAGCACTTCAAAGTATGAAAGTGTCTCCTCCAGGCAAACTTAGCAATTCCCACAGAGGTGGACAGTCCTTCATTTGAAGGTAACGGTTACTCACTGAGGCTAAGACCGGCTCTATTCAGGACGAATTTCCCCAACAGCCCAGCTCGGTTCAGTTCTCGTCCTATTCGGGGACACAGGGAAACTTCCCCCACACCAAATGTAGACACCACGAGGAGCCAGTCCAGCAGAAAGCCAGCAAAATACCACCCAGCGATCCTTATCGGAACCAAGTAGAACCACAAAGGTCCAGATGAGAAGTTCGGTTGGGGTCTGGAGAGAGAAAAAAAACACTGGACCTTCATACAAGGACTCCCCAGCTCGAGGGATCAACTGGCTGGCAGGCTGTGCTCAGAGTGACCGGTGGGGTGGGAGCTGTCGATCCTGAACCAAAATAATTTTTTGGACAGTCCCATCTGGCACTCAGTCACTGAACACCGAATTCGGTTGGAAGGGGGACCAACTTTAGTCTGGCTCAAAAAACGGGTCAGTTTGATAATAAAAGACTACAGAGAAGTCGGGGGAGCTACCGTCCATCAGCTTACCAGAGCCGGAATCATGCTCACAAACATTCATGGATGGACAGATGGACAAAGGCTATTTCCAACTCCCCCTCTTTGCTCCATGACAGGGGACAAAAACTGAGCCGAAGGTTCACCTCCCAGCAGGACAATGATCTGAACACACTACTGAAGCAATACTCTAGTTAATATTGTGGAATGGTCACAAAGACCTCGATCCAAGTGAGAATTTCTGATTTTATTTAAAGATTATTGGACATAAGCAGTTTAGTTAGAAGAACAGATGAAAAAATATCTGGTGGCTTGTTGCACCAAACTCCTGAAGACAGATCTGAACAGACACAATGCTGTAACTGCTGCAAATGGTGGCTCTACAACATGGGGAGGTGAAAATATGTGCACAAACTGCTTTATAAGTTCATATTCTTTAATTATTTGTGTTGGTAAATTCCTTAGAATTTTAATGGATATTTCTCAATTGATTGTACAATTAAGAAATATCCATTAAAATTCCAGACTGTAAAATAATAAACCAAGGGAATGAGTACTTTTGTTATTACCGTTGGTAATTAATGGCAGTCTTGTTTTTCTCCAGAGGTCTACTCACCTTCTCTTTTGCTGTAAATAAAGCTGGACCAGCCAGTGAGTGATCAGAGACCAAAACGTTGTCAGCACCACCGTCATCGGAGCGTAGTCGAATGGCCACCAAGACGGGCGGAGGAACTACAGAATAAAGACGGATAACTGGAATGAGGATGTTGCTTTCCAGATCAAATGTGATGATTTGATGGCTACTACACAAAAAGCAAAAAAGATAAATGAGAATTACCAGGACTTTTAGTGCAAATCGAAAAACTTCTTCTTGGTGTGGGGAAGAAGATCTTGACTTAAAAAACAAAGAATACACAAATATTTCAACAAACATGTTCAAACAAACTGATGCATTTTAAGCATGCGTGCTTCAAAAGTAAATGTGTATAAAGGTAAAGTGTCATTGTTGCAAAAGACCAAGTGTAAAAAGCCTAAATGCTCAACTAAAGATGAGTAGACCGACAAACTAAGCGGGCTTGGGCTGGTGAAACTGTAGAAACATACTGGAAGAAGTGGCTGCTGGCACAGAAATAACTCAAAACAGAAAACACAAAACCTGTTTCCAAACAACCAAAAACACACAGATTCTGTACTCATCTTCACAACAATAATTAGCAGCCGTGGTTTCACCTGTGGCTTATTGAGCTCCTCCAGAACGTGCAGCCTGTGCAGCACATTGGCCATGTTTTCCTGCAGCCTCAGCAGAGCCGCAGCTATCTGCATGTTGACCTTGGTCCTCCTGACCCTGACGAGATGTCTGTTCTTCGACACACAGCGACGGGCAGCATCAACACCGATGCATCGCAGTGAGTCGCAGACGAGTTCTGGAGACTGAGAACCTGAAAGAAACAAATCACATAGTTTCAGATTGTTCCACATCTGTGATGCTTTTTGTTGGGGTGTTTGGTTTTGGTTTGGTGTTTGGAGAACCAAAAGTCAGGGAAAATACTTTTTTTGTTTGTTCCCTTCAGGGACATCTACTACAGATCATCTGCCTCCACCTATCCCAGCATCCTCCTTGGTCCTGCCAACCCTCTGTTTATCCTCCTTCACCCCCATCAATGCACCTTCTCTGTGGTCTTTTCCCTTTCCCTGGCAGCTCCATATTCAACGTTGTTTGTCCAGTCAGTCCACCGTCCCTCCTCTGCACAGGTCCAGACCATCTCAGTCTCTAACTTTGTCTCGAAACTGCTCAACCTGCACTGAAGGCAAAATGCTGGTGATGTCCCTTACCACCTGTCTCCCTCTCATTCACACACACTTGTCCAACTTTTACCAGCTTTCATTCCTCTCCTCTCCAGAACACACCTTCACCTCTCCAGACTCACTTCCACCTGCTCCCTACTCTCACTACAAATCACAATGTATGTAAGAACAACTCCTTCCTGACCTCATCTGTCAACCTGTCCATGCAAATTACAAATAGGAAGGGACTTAGAGATGATCATCGGTTTGATTCATCGCCACATTCTGTCACTTCTCACTGCACATCTCACCACTGCCTCACTCTCACTAGGTACCTGCTCCTTCTCACACAGTCCCACAGGTACTCTCTTTATACCTTATCATGGAAACATCCATCCATCCATCCATCCTATTTACCCGCTTCTTCCTTTTCGGGTCATGGGGGTCACTGGTGTCCATATCCAGCAGTCACTTCACATGAGGCAGAGGACACCCTGGACAGGTCTCCAGTCCATCACAGGGACACATAGAGACTAACGGGACATTTCGCTCCTCATCCGAGGAGCTTTCTCAATTCAAAGAGCAGAGAGTGAGAGATTCAGGTTATAAGGCTGAGTGAGATAAGACACACACATAAAACAGACACACACACATATATGTAGATTGGTAGTTCACACCTAAACACCTTAACAGTAAGTCTTTTGTTCCTCTAATTCACAGACGAGGCCCCTCTGTTCCCATCAGGTGTGAAAACCGGCTGGGAATCTGTTTTAAAGTTGCATTATAGGTTTTTGAAAGTGGAAATCTGAGGCCTCCTCCTCTGTTAAGAGACGGCTTTTCTCTTTTTACATAAATTGCTTCCTTCACCCCCCTCTCAGAACACAGATGGTTTGAGAGGGGGGTGAAGGAAGCAATTTATGTAAAAAGAGAAAA